ATCTTAGAGACGAACCAATTTATTTGAGCATGAGCTTTCGTGAGCTACAGCTCACTTCATCGGATGCATCCCGTGGAAAGTTTAGAAGATCTTATTATATACACACAAAGCATGAAACAATACCTCCTCCCACCCCACTCTCCTGCTGGTAATAGCTTATCTCAAGTGATCACTCTCCTTACAATGTGTATGATAATCAAGTTGGGCCATTTTCAGCACAAATCCAGGTTTTCTCATCCCCCCCCCCCCCCCCCCAAACTCACTCTCCTGCTGGTAATAGCATGGGTCCCTAGAATCATAGAATCATAGAATATCAGGGTTGGAAGGGACCCCAGAAGGTCATCTAGTCCAACCCCCTGCTCGAAGCAGGACCAATTCCCAGTTACATCATCCCAGCCAGGGCTTTGTCAAGCCTGACCTTAAAAACCTCTAAGGAAGGAGATTCTACCACCTCCCTAGGTAACGCATTCCAGTGTTTCACCACCCTCTTAGTGAAAAAGTTTTTCCTAATATCCAATCTAAACCTCCCCCACTGCAACTTGAGACCATTACTCCTCGTCCTGTCATCTGCTACCATTGAGAACAGTCTAGAGCCATCCTCTTTGGAACCCCCTTTCAGGTAGTTGAAAGCAGCTATCAAATCCCCCCTCATTCTTCTCTTCTGCAGGCTAAACAATCCCAGCTCCCTCAGCCTCTCCTCATAACTCATGTGTTCCAGTCCCCTAATCATTTTTGTTGCCCTTCGCTGGACTCTCTCCAATTTATCCACATCCTTCTTGAAGTGTGGGGCCCAAAACTGGACACAGTACTCCAGATGAGGCCTCACCAATGTCGAATAGAGGGGAACGATCACGTCCCTCGATCTGCTCGCTATGCCCCTACTTATACATCCCAAAATGCCATTGGCCTTCTTGGCAACAAGGGCACACTGCTGACTCATATCCAGCTTCTCGTCCACTGTCACCCCTAGGTCCTTTTCCGCAGAACTGCTGCCGAGCCATTCGGTCCCTAGTCTGGGGACTAGGTGCATGGGATTCTTCTGTCCTAAGTGCAGGACTCTGAACTTATCCTTATTGAACCTCATCAGATTTCTTTTGGCCCAATCCTCCAATTTGTCTAGGTCCTTCTGTATCCTATCCCTCCCCTCCAGCGTATCTACCACTCCTCCCAGTTTAGTATCATCCGCAAATTTGCTGAGAGTGCAATCCACACCATCCTCCAGATCATTTATGAAGATATTGAACAAAACCGGCCCCAGGACCGACCCTTGGGGCACTCCACTTGATACCGGCTGCCAGCTAGACATGGAGCCATTGATCACTACCCGTTGAGCCCGACAATCTAGCCAACTTTCTACCCACCTTATAGTGCATTCATCCAGCCCATACTTCCTTAACTTGCCGGCAAGAACACTGTGGATACCCTAGAGCTGGTGCCACCGCTCCTCACCCAGATCCCTGCCCAGGGTTCACGGGGGGGGGGCATCATTATTAGAGTTGCAGCCACTTCCCACGGGACAGTCAGGCACAGCCCAGAGCAGTGGGCTGGAATCCCTCCCCCAGCCCTGGAGGGGGAATGGGGGGCTCAGCCACAGGGCCTGTCCCTGCCCCAGTACCAAGGCAGTGCCTCAAACCAGACCCCCCCCTCCCTGCTGACAGGGCGACACAGAGAGCCCTACAGGACAGTTCCTCAGCTCCCCAGAACCCCCCACCCCTCTGCCCCCAGCAGCCTATAGGGCCGCCCAAGGAGAACACATTATTCACCCCCTCGCTGCTCAGAGCTGGCATCAGGTGCCTTCTGGCACTGTGGAGACCCAGGGACCAGGACTGCGCAGCGGAGATGGGGGTCAGGGGCAAATCTGAGCCAAGGGAGGCATGCCCTGGCTGGGAGTGGGGATGTCCAGTGAAATCCAGGGGGCACCGGCTCCAGCGGGAGCTGGCACTGGCAGGGCAGCGTCATTCACCAGCCAGCCTGAGCGCAGGCCCCTTGAGGATTCCCTGTTCTGTTCAATCCCTCTGCAGCAGCTGGCACCGTCCCCTGTCGGAAGCCAGGGTACCGGGCTAGACGGACCTATGGCCTGACCCAGTCCGGCTGTAGGAATCCCAGAGCAGTCACTGCCTCCATGCCACATGCCAAGAGCAGCTGGGGGGCAAAGACAGATGGGTAGGTCTGTGCATATTGGGGCTGGCACAGTGGATCCCAAAAGGGGGCACGAATGCCAGAGCATGGCATGCTCGTAGATGGGGGGGGGCTGGAGCACCTGGGAAGGGGAGGTGAACACCAGGGCTAACACCCCCCATGCTCGTGGCGATGGCAAAGGCAAGGAAGGTGGGACTCGTGGGGACACAAAGGCGAGAGAAGGTGGCCCCCTCAAGGCAGCACGAGCCATCTCAGCCTCTGCCCCAGTGAGGGAGCAGAGTCACCTACCCATGACACCTTGGCACAAGGTTGCCAACCTGCAAGGACACTGGCCCTCCCCTGCCACGCTCAGCTGCAGACACCCACCACCTGCTCCTGGGGAGGGGAGCTTTACTGGGGGAGAATTTCACTGGTAGGGGAATACCCCCACCCCCGCTACAGACGATGCCTGGGGAAGACAGAGGGGACCCTGGGGGGAGCAGATCCCCCCTCCCACCAGAGGAGCATTTTGATGCAGAGGTGGGGGCTGTGGGAGGCAGGTGGGGTGGGGGGAGCTCCGGCCCAGCTGCCTTAGAGTGAGCCGCTGGCTGGAGCGACAAGCCGAGTGCCCCTGTTAACCAGACCTTCCCTAGGGAAGAAACCCTACCGGGGCCCAGACAGGACGTGCCAGAGGGAGGCCCCCCCCCCAGCCACGCTGAGATCCAAGGAGCAGGGTCCTTCCCATGGCTGGGGAGGGCATCTCCCTCATTCGCCCCCCCGCAGAGCAGTGTTCCCTCCAGGGGAGCACCAGCTCCAATTGAATCCCTGCCCTGTACCAGGCCCAAAGCCCACAGCCTTGTCCAGCACCTGCCAGCCTGCCTGCCAGGCCCCTCCACTTGGGCCGTGCTGGGCCTGGAGAGCCAGGAGCTCATCAGGGGAGATTTATGAGCAGTTGAAGGGGAGCAGCCGCTCACACCGCGCTCACACTTTGCGCAGCTCCCTGCCGTAAATCAGCCGTGGCTGGAGGCCGAGACGCCCGGGCTCCTGCAGAAGGATCTGCAGGCGCAGATCCAGGGGGCTGCTGGAGAGGAGGACGCCCACCTCTGGGTACAAACCCCTTGGACGACTGGGATGATCCTGAGCCCTGGGCACATCCCTGGGGCAGCTACAGCAACTCAGGGGCCGGCTTGGGAAACCCGGCACAGGCACCAACCGGCCTGGAGCCAGAGCCAGGGAGGTCAGCGACTCCGCCTGGGGCCGGAGGGCGCAGCGCAGGCGGGGCCCAGCAGGAGCTGCCAGCTGCGATTGGAGCTGGAGCTAGTGGCACAGAGGGGCCTCAAGCCTCTCCCCACAGCTGGGGAGCAGCACTGAGCACCCCGCTGATCTCACTGCTCGGAAGGAAGGGGACCCGGGACAGCAGAAGGATGCTTTAGGGGGATGCTTTTAGCAGGAGCCCAGGGGGTCACAGCAGGGTCTGCACCCACCTGCCACACAGCTCCAAGAGCCTCTCCTCAAAGCTGGCTTGGAGCAGGGGTTACCCATGGGGCCTCTCCCCAGGGATGGGGGGAGTGGGCAGCATGCCACTGAGCCGGAAGGGCCCAGCCCAGCAGGGGGCAGGAAGGCTCAGAGGGGTGGGGCAGGGGAGCTCCGCAGGGGTTCTGTCAGCCATTGACCCCAACTGTAAACCCTGCATGTAATGGAAACCACTTCAACCTGGGAGGGCAGCTGCACCCCCTAGTTCCAGCATGGATGGAGCTGTGACCTGGCCCTCCAGGGATCCAGCTGTTGGCAGGGATCAGGGTCAGTGCAGTCAACTCTGTCCAGCTGCCTGCTCCCTGTGCTGGGGCCTGACACAGACCCTCTGAAGCACCCACTCTGCATGACCCACCTCCAGTGGGGAGAGTGCCCCGGGCTCCAACTGAACCCGGGGGAACTGGGGGGGGTGCCCCCCCTGCCAAGATCCAGCCCATGGCACCCAGAAAGCCAAGGGCAACTAGAGGGAGAGGGTCAGCAGCCTGCAGCTCCCGTTGGGTGCAAGGTGGATCCCCCCTGCCCCCATCACTGAGCATGATGGGGAACCCAGCCCCCGCAAGTGCGATGGAGAACACTGCCCCCCCCCATGAGCGCAATGGTACAGCAGGGCGCTGAGCACTTTGGAGGCTGGCTACAAGTGGCTTTGCCCCGGCACTGCACAGGCTCCATGGCAGAGCTGGGCCAGGAGCACCAGTAACGCTGGCCCCTCATTGCAGGGCAGGGGGACCCGAGAGCCATGGGGCTGCCAAGCTGGGTCCCCGGGAAAGGCGGCTAACAGCAAAGGCACCTGGGCAGAGTGTGGAGGAGACGCCCCTCCCATGCTGGATCCCCGACTCTCCCCTGGCCTGGGGAGCTGCTGGGCTCCAGAGCCCACCCCACGCTGGCTGCACCCAAGTGGCAGCCCCCGGGAGGAGGTAAGCCCACGAGACCCCCCCATCAGCAGCATCTGCCCCAGGAAGGGCCTCAGTGGGTGGATTGTAACTGGCTACTGCAGTGGCAGGGAGTGCACAGGGACCCACCCCCTGGAGGGAACAGCCAGTGGAGATGGAGGAAGCAGGATGATGTGGGGAAGCCCTGCCCTCACCACACCCCAAAGAGGGCACTAGGCCAGGACAAACAGCCGCCACAGGGGGCAGCAGTGAAGCAGGGTCCAGGGTGTCACCCCATCCCATCCCGGGCTTGGTTTCAGTAGCAATGAGTCTGGGGGACCCCCTGCGAGCCCTGGGATAGGGCAAATGTCTGGGCTGGGCAGCAGCCACCTCCGCTGACCCTGATGCGAGGTTCCCCATTGTTCAAGGGCTGGGAAAGCAGCGGCTGCCCAGAGGGTCAGAAAAGAGCCAGACACCAGATCCAGCAAAATCCTCCAGCGTGTTAGGGCGCCAGGCAGTGCGTCATACAGGACAAGGGGGTGGGACACAGTAGAGATGGGGGCAGCAGTGGGATCCGTGCCCTATCGCAGCAGAGACCACTTGATCTGTTCTTTGGCTGACTGCAGCACCTGGAAAGCAGAGAAAGGGGGTGGCTCAGCTGGAGGGGTTGGGTGGCAGACCTCTTCTCCCCTCCCCTCCCCTCCAGTGACCTGCCGGCCTGGCACCATCCCCCTCCCCTCCCCTGCAGAGCTCACCAGCCCCACTGCTAGAGCCAACCCCCTTCGCCATGGTGACCACTGGCCTCAACAGCCCTGCAGGGGGCATGAGAGACCCCACAGCTCTCTGGTTAAGAGCAGGGGCTGATGTCAAGATCCAGGGCCCCAGCTGACTGCTGTCCCTCCAATCCCAGAGGGAGCTGCGTGTGGGGCAAGTGCTACCTGCATGTCAGGCTCTTTCAGAAGCCCTGGGCCCTTTGACTACAGGGGCCTTGTCTGGGCGCCACTCCGCAGGGGGCAGTGTAGCTGTGGTGGAAGGGTCCGTGGGCCGGCAGGACCCAGCAGGAGAGACTGGCTGGAGAACAGCTGGGCCAAGGGACGCGCTCTATTACTACCAACCCGGCCTGCAGCCACGGGCACCAGCTGGCAACAGGTAAGCAGGATCTGCCCCTGCCATCCCGCAGGGCTCCATGAGTTTCTGGAGTTACAGGCTGTTCCCCATGCCTGGGCCAGGCACTGCCTCACAATGGGGCAAAGGGAACCGGATCCAGGGTTAAGAGCCGTCTTGTGGCTCGGCCCAGCCTGTACTGGGACAGGCCCCTGACAGGGCACAGGCAGGGCACTCTGTCCAGCTGGACAAGCTGCCATCTAGAGCTCTGGCCAATGAGCAGCGGGCCTGTCTGGAGGCAGAGCAGCCCTGGACAGGAGAGCGCCGGGGCAGCCCCTACCAACAGGCTGCATGGCACAGTGTATCTAAGGGCCTGGCCTCAGAGCACCCAGCCCAGAAGGAGCTGGGTTACCGTGGGGCCCACAGTATTTCTTAGGCCCTTACTCTAAGTTAGTGCCACCCTTTGTGTGCCTCGCTGGCTGTGGGCTCCCCAGGGCAGAGGCTGTGCCCACCGCTAGGTCTCGTGCAGCACAGAGCATGCTGGGGGCGGTTAACAATTGCTGCACGTTGCAATCCAACTCCATGCTGGGAAGTGGTCAGGAGGGCACCCCCCCCATGGACCGCATTGCCACTAGGGGGCACTGGAGTCTGCAAAGAAATCAGGACCAGGCCCCTGGGGGGGGGGGGGGGGGGGAAATCCCTGCTGGTCTGCCCTGGGGAATCCCATGCTAAGCTTGGGAGGGGCCTGACTGGGGGAGGGTGGGGCCTGGGCTGGAGATGGCGAAATCTGGGGATGGGAAGTTGCAGAGCCCTGGAGCCGACCAGGGGGACAGGCCTGCCCAGGCTGGGGGAGTGATGCCGGTGCGCAGGGAGGGTGGGGACAGGGACAGGGATGTACCTGAGAAACTGTCTGCTCTGTCAGGGGGACGTCTTCGCCCTGCAACAGACATGTCATGGAGCACCACTTCCAGCCCCCCAGTGCCACAGGAGGTGCTGCCCTGAACCCCACCCCTCCATGCTGCAGGGGGCACTGCCCTCACCCCCCACCCCAATGCTGCAGGGGACACGGTTCCCCCCTCCTTCCCAATGCAGGGGGCTGGGCAAGGTGGCCAGGCCCTTCCCCACTGCTCTCAGGGAGTCAGGCCCCAGCTCAGCCCCAGCCTGGTTCGCAGCCACCCCAGCCCCTAGGGGCTGGAAAGCAGGAGGGGGGAAGGGCAGGAGTGCAGCAGGGGGTACATTGTGCCCTGAGGAATCGTGCTGCCCCTCCCCCACCCACCCTGTAGGGCAAAGCCATTCCAGGGGGAGCAGGCTCCTGCCCTAGCGCTCCCTCTGGGTGCCCGACAGGGGGCAGAATGGGCAGCTGGCATGGTGATGGGCAAGTCAAGGAGGAGGAGCCTACTGGGACAGAAGCTGGGCTCTACTCCCCAGGGGGAGGGGCTCTCAGAGTGGGGGGAGAGCGGGGCTGCTCCGGGGAAGGGGGGCCGCACTCACTTACCCGCACAGCCACTCGGTGCACCACCTGCTGGGGGTCACTCTCCAGGATCACGCTGAGGGAGGAGCACGTGGCCCGTTAACACTGTGCCAGGTGAGAGAAGCCCCTGCTCGCGGGGCCCCCCGTGCCCAGGCTGCCGCCCTGTGCCGCACAAGGGGCACCACACTGATGGCCCAACGGGCTTGTGACAAACCCTCCATCCCCAACGGCCGGTCTGTGAGAATCTGGGTGACTCTGACCAGCTTGGGACTGCCCAGAGAGCTGGGTGGCCAGAGGAGGGATGGGCGAACCGAGCTGGGGGGGAGGGAGGGGAAGGGAGCCTGCAAAGGGTCAGGGTGGCCAGTGCAGGGAGAGGGGAGAGACATGCAGAGGGTCAGCCTGGCCAGCTGAGGACAGGGTATCTAGGCAGCCAGGCCCTTTGGAAGAATTTAAACCTCCCTCAATTCAGAGAAATGTCACCTTCCCAGGGCTGGGCATTTACATGTATATGCCCACGCCCACACCAACCAGCTGGACATACGTGATGACAACAGCCAGCTGGAATCGGGGGGGCCTGGCAAGCAGGGTGTTCCAGCCCTCCCCAGGGAGCACTTGCCAGCTGCCAGTGCTGATGCCTGGCCACCACCCCTCAAGCTGGGCAGAATGCCCCAGTACTCAGGCCCTGGACACAAGAGCCTGGTAAGATGGGCCCAGGACAAGCTGGGTGGAGGGAGGAAGTTGCAGCCTTGGGCCCCATGAGGGGAGCGGGAGCCGGAGCCTCATTTCTGTGTGGACACTGGTGCTCACCCTCCATCCACGATCTCATCCACTGCCAGGAAGAGACCCTCCATGTTCTCCAGCAGGGCACGCTTCTCCACGTTCTTCCTGCCGAGAGACCCGCACCCTGTCAGGGAGAGCCCGGGGCCTTGGCGCCAGACCCACCATACCTGGGCACCAGGCGCAGCCCACACACCATGCTGCAGGGCAGCTCAGGCTGCCACCAGAGGGGTGTCAGGCCCCCTGCCCGGCAGGGGGAACTTCGGAGCGTCCTGGCGAGGGGCTGCCTGGCTCAGATACGTCCAGTATGGGGTGGGGAGAGGAGACTCAGATCTGACCCACTAGCTCCCTGTGGGGCTGCCAGGCTATATGGACTAGGGACTAGATGGGCAATGGTTCTAGGTGGGCTGGGCCCCAGTGTGCTGGAGGGGGAGGGGGGCTGACAGTGTCTCAGACCTCCGTTATGAGTGTAATTTAATATCTCACTGAAAGGTGACAGGGCCAGAAAGAGTTAATTAACTCACAGACTGACCTGACCCATGGCTTTAGAGATTGGTTAGGAAGAGATGGAAATGAACAGAGCTTTGAAATGCAGCCTGCATTGTTAGAGATAGAAGGATAGATGTCAGCTCAGGTCTTGTGATGTCAGCAGACAAGTCTTGTCTGTTGCTATAGCTTTGATTCAAAGATCAAAAAAAGGAATACAGTCATTTAGGAGAACACTTGAGTGAAATCGTATTACTGTCTACATGTCTCTTGGAAGGTCGTGGTAACCTGTAGCTGACCTGTTTAATGGATAAATGACCCTGGGCTAATCGCCATGATGTGTAGGAGAAGGAAAGTTAAGCCTCTTCTCTTCTCAGTCCAAAAGGCTGCTGGAAATGTATAAAACCCTTGGGACAGGATCCTTCTTCATCTCAGATCTGCTTTGGGTTTCAAGAGGGGGAAACCTTAAGCCATAAGGACTGAGATCCCCAGTCACTGACTGGAGTCACTCTGAATATGGACATTGGACTATAACCTGTGGACTATTCTAAAAGGACTTTTGGCAACTACAAGCTCATCTCTGCTCTGTATCTGAACCACAGGAAATGAATTCAAGTCTGTCTGTATACTTATCTTTTAACCAACTCTCTCTCTCTCCTTTTTTAATAAATTTTAGCTTAAATAACAAGAATTGACTATAAGTGTGTATTTTGGGTAAGATCTAAGTTATAATTGGACCTGGGTGTGTGTCTGGTCCTTTGGGATTGGAAGAACCTTTTCTTTTCTATGATGAAACAAGATTTTCAGAATTTATCATCATATGTTTGACATGTGTGTCTGTCATCGTATGTTTGACATGTCTGGATGGAGGCCTGAGGCTGGGGATTTTAAGGGAACTGCATTAGTTGGACTGCTGAGTAACCAGAGAGGTAATACAGAAGTTGTTTTGGGCTGGCTTGGCAAATCTAATTGGAATATCCACCAGGTTTAGGGGTTTGTCTGCCCCGTTTTGTTTGCAGTTCACCCTAATTGAGTGACCCCAGCTAGCTCCCACAGTCAGCATGGTTACACCCCCGTCCCGAGCACATGGTTCCTCCACATCCCTGGTCTCCAGTGGGGCTATTTCTGCCAGCAGAGGATCTGGCCCACTAGGCCCCTCCCCTGCTCTGATCCAAACCCGAGGAGGAAAGGTGACCCCCAGGGTTCGTGCAGAGTTTGGAGAGCGAACCCTGGACACAATCGAGTTCAAGCCGCCCGGAGCGAGACCTGACCGAAGCGCTGATCCAGCCAGGTGGGCAGTGTTTGGCCAATAGTGCCTGGCGCTCTGGACTCTGCCCTAGATCAGCCAACCCCCTTGCTGCCCGGTGACTGCACCGGCCCCCCAATCTCCAGGCTAGGGCGACAGGACTCTGATCTTATTTGTCCCGTTCTCAGTGGGGCTGGTGATCCTGCCAGGAACTGGGGCACTGAGGGGCAGAGCTGGGGCCCTGCTGGTTCATTCCCCTGCTGGGCTGACTGGGCTCCCGTGGCTGGGGACGGCTTCACTGCCCCAGAAAGATCCCCCTCGTGGAGCAAGCAGGACACAGGGCTGTGCTGGCTCAGAGGGGCACAGTGGGGAGTGGACCTCTATCCTGGGGTGCTGAGCAGCCATCAGCAGGAATGGCGGGTGCTGGCAGGATCACGCCCCGCCGGCCGTCTGCAGCTGGTCCGATGCCCAACAGGAGACATCGCCCACAGCCCCTTCCTCAGAAACATCCAGTTGGTACAAACCACTGGTGTCACTGGAGCCTTGCTGATTTACACCTGGCCCAGGCCTGGCCCGAGGGGACTGAGGACTCAAAGCTGACCCCCCCATTCCAGGCCTTTCCGGGTCACCTCATCCTGGCTCAGGTCTTACCCTGCAGCCCATCACCATGGCATCTGGGCACCTGCCATGTCTAATCAGCAGCAACAGGAGGCCCCTAGTGGCCCAGTCTGAGCAGGGGTGGCCCTGATGCCGGTGCCTCCCTCACTGTGAGCTCTGGGGAGGCTCCCAGCAGTGTGCTGAGCCCCTGACTTCCCGCACCAGAGCCCCAGATGGTCCTAGACTGCCCAGACTAACCCTCCAGCCCCCCATCTCCCACTGCTGGGGGAACTCGAGCAGCAGGAGAGCCCTCCCCACACCCTGCTCCGCCCCGCCGCCCCTCACGGGGCCTTACCTCAGCATCTGGCTGAGTGAGTCGAAGAGGCAGTTCAACACGGCCATGAGCATCAGCTGGAAGAGGAGACGACGCAGGTCAGGGAGACCAGGCCCTGCCCCAAGCGCCCCCCTCACACAAGCCCGCTGCTGACACCCAAGCATAGGGCACTGGGGAGGGGCCATCTGCTCATGGGAGGCTGCCCCTGGCAGGAGAGATGGACAGGCGAGGGGGCAGAGCATTATCACTGCTCTGATGGGGGGCAGGGGCAGCCTTTAGGGCCTGATTTGCAAAGGGGCCCAGTGCCCACAGCCTCCACTGGGAACAACAGGGGGTGGAGGATGGTGGGGGATTCCCCACAGCTGCCCATGGGGGTGTCTCCATCGTTCTCCATGGAGTTGATTGGCATGGAGCCCTTTTGCCGATCTGCTGCACAGTGTGGCTGACTCCAGGGCCCACTGCCCTGCCCCACCCCCCTCACAGCGTGCCCAGGGTCAGCTCCCTGTGTGGCAACCGAAGGCTGCCCCCTGGCACTACAAGAACGCTCTGCCGCAACCAGGCCACCCACGCCCACATGGGGCAGGCAGCGGAGCACCAGCTGGGAAAGCAATGGGGGGCTGCGGGCGATGCCCCAAGTTGCAGGAGCCGGCTGCGATGCCCCGTCCCTCAGCAAGGGCCAGGTTTCTCTAGGCAGGCGCCCGCCTCCAGTTCTGTACCCACAATCCCCTGCGGACACAGAACATCCTGCCCCCCAGCACCCGTGCTGGCTAGGCTGCCCTGACGCGAGGCTCTAACTCCTCCCTGAGTGTCCCCAGGCCCAGGGGCCCTGGCAGGAACGAACCTCGTTCTCGTAGGAGCTGCCGATGACGTAGAAGTACAGGTCGATGCTGCTCTTGTAGACGACGGTCAGCCCCTCCAGGAGGGCGATCTCACCTGGGAGTGGGGACAGGCCCACACGTGAGGAACAGGCCAGCTCGTGGGAAAAGGGGCTTTGCTAGGGTGGGCTCACCAGTGCCCGCCTGCTGGTGAGGCAGGGAGGGGAAGCCAGCATTCATGGGATGGCACCAGTCTCGGTTTTAGGTGGGCATCCCAAGACCACCCTGGTTCAGAGCATCATCGGCAGGGAGGGCATTGGGGTATTCCCCATTGATTCCCCCGAGTCTGGCTGCTGACTCAATTGCATGGCCCTGCCTTAACAGAGGTGCCCATGGTGCCCCTGTGACCCAGATCACAGTGTCTGATCCAGCCCCCCATGGCACCTCTGGGACCCAGAGCATGGCACCCAACCTCCCACCCTGCACATGGCACCCTGGGGACCCAGAGCACAGGGTCTGACCCTCCCCCCACAGTGCCCCTGGGACCCAGACGCGGCATCTGCCCGTGCCCACCCCACTGCAGCGAGTGGAGCTGCAGGGCCCATGAATCGAACCGGCAGGGAGATCGCAGGCAGTGGCCCTTCCCCCTCGGTGTCCCGTGGTCCCCATCCTGCCAGGCCAGGGCACATACTGTCTGTCCGGTGGGTCTTGTTGAAGATGTTCTTCTCAAAGGCTTTCTGCTCCTTAACGGTGGGGTATGTGTCATCATAGTACTGCCAGGAGAGACACGGGCGTTACTCCTGACCCTGGCACAGCTCACCCGGCACCTGTGCAATGCCAGCCAGGCCCGGAGACCAGGCCAGTCCAGATGGGCACAGCCTGCAGCCTGGCACTGGGAAAAGGACACCAAGCTCTCACACCAAACCTCGGGTGTGGATTCTGGGCGCCCAGACACCCACGGCAGCCAGAGAGCATCACGCACTGCAGGACCCGGAGGGGAAGAAGCAGGGCTTGTTTTCCTGCACATGTCTTTGAAACTGTAGGACCAGGAGTGGGTATAGGTCAGGACTGAGGGGCATTGGCAGAGCTGGGGACGATCCCGGGGCTGCGGGTTGGGACTGAGGGGCACTGGCAGGATGGGGGGAGTTTGCTTTGCCCTGTGTCTGGTTCCAGAGTTGCTCCCCTCAATCCCTACTTTCCCAGTCCTGGAATTCACTCACAAACGAGAATCTCAGGCCCCTGCCTGCCCTAGGGTAAGGTCGTGGGACTCAGAGCACAGCAGCTGACGAGAGCGTGGCATCTGATGCCCCCCGCCCCACCCAATGGCACCCCCGGGACCCAAAGCGCGGCATCTGACGCCCCTCTGCCCCGCCCTGTGGCACCCCTGAGACCCAAAGCGTGGCATCTGATGCCCCCCCCGCGCGGCACCTTTGGGACCCAAAGCCATGGCATCTGGCCTCCCCTATGGCAACCCTGGACCCAAAGCGCAGCCCCTGTCCCCGTCCCTGCCCATCCCACAGTGCCCCCGGGACCCAGAGCACACCCCACGGCATGCTGCCTGCGGGCACTCACCTTGGCAAAGAGGCGGTCGCCATCGTTATCCAGGATAAGGACGGCTTTCACTGTGTACAGGGATGGCTCCTGCAGAGACACAGGCCCAGTCACTGCCCAGAGCTGCCACGGTCCTGCACCACTCCAGCCCACCCTCCCCACCCACAGGGAGCTCAGCCTGCCAGGGCAGCATGTGGGGCAGCCACGGCCCAGAACCGCCTACGCTGGGAGCTCAGAGGGGCGGGTGCCGTGGCACCTGGATTAGGCCCACACATGCTCCCTGTGTGGGGCTGGGGGTGGGGGGGAGCCGGCTTGACGGACCACCCTGGGGCATGGATCTCGGCACATCTCATGGGGCCAGCTCCGATTCTGCCCCAGGTCAGCAGGGCTGGAAAATCAGTCCCACCCTGACGGCTGTTCTCAAGCTGGTGTCCAGCAGACGTGCGCATCGCCCCCAGATGGGCACTCTACCCAGGGCTGGACTTACCTCCCCCAGACGGCGCCAGCTGTGGGCCCTGCTGGGGGAGGACGCCCCTGCCCGGCAGACAGAGATGCTGCTGCCCCGGCACCTCTCCCTAGGGGTTTGCAGACCAAAGGGCCATCCCCAGCTGGCGTCGGGGGTGCTCTGTAACCAGTCCAGCTCTGTCACGGTCGCTCCAGGCCCAGCTACCCCTGCCTCCCACGCCCAGCACACGTGCCCACTCGCCCCATGGCGAGCATGGACAGGGGCACCAAAGGACCCCGCAGAGAAGCATCAGAACGAGTATGGAATCAGGGGGGAGCCTGGCCCCCACCCCACAGATTCCAGCTGTGATCAGGTCCCACATTATTATACAAACCCCAACGGCCCATGGCATGACCTAGATGAATGGCTGGGTGTCTGCACAGCTGGGGGGAGGGGAACATTCTGGGGGGGCTCCCCCCATCCTTGGGTGCCAGCATCCATCCATCCCCACCACAGGCCTGACCCCCTCTTGGCTGCCCCTGCCCTGGTGTGCCGGCACCCCCTACTCAGGATCCTCCAGGGCCAGACCCCTCCATGCACTGGTGTAGCCCCCCCATTGCCCCAGGTGTGAGCAAGGCTACCCCGGGGCCCCAGCCCAAGCTGCAGACAGGCCCAATGCCCGGTAACACACAGGCCTGCAGGCCCGAGCACCCCCAAGCCAGCTCACTGCCCCACCTCCCGGCAGCCTCCCCAGCCCTGTGCTCTCCCTTTCCTCAGCCAGCAGAGGGAGCTCCAGGCCCACAGCAGCTGCAAACATGGCTCACCAAGGACGCCCAGCTGGTGCTTTGGCGGGCGGGCGTATAAATAACCGGCTGCTATCGGGAGAGCTGGCTTCCTGCTGCCACCCCCCTGCTCTGCACGGGGCAGCTCTAGCAACCGCGTTTATCACTCCCCACCCCGGCCAGCCGCTTCCCCCTGGGGCCCCGCAGCATGGAGCAAAGGCAATGGCAGCTTTGACAGCTTCAAAGACAAGGAAAGGAGCGGGGACTAGTGGTTAGAGCAGAGGTGGGCTGGGATCCAGGACTCCTGGGTTGTAGCCCCTAGTTCTGGGGAGGGAGTGGTGTCTAGTAGTCAGAGCAAAGGATCGGGGGGCAGGACTCCTGGGTTCTATTCCCATCTTGCCCCTGCTTTGCTGCTCAGTGTCAGATGATGCAGATTACAGGTGTTATTTGCACTGGGAACGGAGTAAGTCGGGAGCCGTATCCCCTCTGCACAAGGACACGGGACAGACGAGGGGCCCCAGCACTAAGAGGCCATGAATGCAGAAGGCACAAGGGGGGCAGCAGCTGGCAGTACAGGGCTGGAGGGGACAATGGGGGCTCTGTGCCCCCTGAGGGCTGGCTGCCAGCACAGGACTTGGGGGAGGGTGGGGGGGTGGCCGGGGCAATGGGGGCTCTGGGCTCCTCGGGGGGGCCGACCGGCAATGTGGGGCCAGGGCAATGGCTCCTCGGGGGCCGCTGGCTGTCACCCAGTCTGACGAGAGCCCCCCATCGCCACCAGGATCCACCCTGGTCCCAGCCATTGGCCGGGAAGCAGAGCAGCCAGCCCCAGGCCCAGCAGGGCTCATTGTGATACCCCATTGTGAAAGCCTGCGCAGGTCCCACTGAGATGAGGCCTTGGCCCCAGGCTCTAAGGACTGATAGGTCCCACCTAGCCCCAGGCCTGTCCCCACAGGGCCCCCTGAGCGAAGGGCCATGAGGGAGCTGACCCTGACTAAGAGGGCAGAGTGGGCCAATCCCCAGCCCCTCTACCCAGCCAGCACCACCCCAGGCACTCGGCCCTTCATGGTCTCTCTGCCGATGCTCAGCCCAGCCCCAGCTCATTCCCCATGCGGCTGCCAGGAGGGGGCAACTGGTGCCCACCCTGGCTATGGAGGTGGCACAGCCCTTCCCCTCACCTCCTCCCAGCCCGGAGGTCACGGGGCCACAGTCCAATACATGCCAGGCCCCCCAACCACCAGGCCCTTTGTTACAGCTCCCATCTACCCTAGTGAGGCACGGCTCTGTGCTGGTGACCCATTGTGGCTCCTCCCCACCGCACATGGCCTTTGCCCCGTGCAGACCCGGCTCATGGCAAGTCTCCCTCCACCCAGGCTGATGCCATCACCGCAGCGCCCGGCCTGCTGAGCCCTGAACACTGACGGGATCCTGCCCGTGCAGCACGGCACCCCTGGCACCCGGCAGATCGGGGGCATCATTCACTCAGACACCCACAGATGCACGTGAGAGGCGGCAAACCCCAAGCATCGTCGCCCCTTGTCTCCAGGCCACGCTCGGAGCTGGACACACACACAGCTGGATTAGCACCCGGATTTACACTGGCACACCACCGTGGGGGGGGGGGGGGACTGGCTCCCTAGGGGGAGGGGGGCGCAAGATGGGGCAGTTTAGCTCCTGGAATGGGGCTTGCTTGTCTGCAGAGGCTCAGGAAGGTGAGCAGCACTATTGGGGCTGTTAGGGGCTCAGGCTGGCAGCATCGAAGTCTCCCAGCACACTGGGGCAGGATCGAAGGGATTCAGCCCATTAGGGCCCGGCCATTTCTGTGCTTCCAGCCCCACGGCTCAGGAGACCCTCAGCCCCCCAGAGTAAAAGGAATGGGGTTTGCAAAGATCAAGACCCGTGTCACATGGAGATCACTCCCTGCACCCCACCGCCAGGCCTCAGGGCACCGCCAGGCCTCCTGAAAGGCTCCCGAGTTGCCAGCGGTGAAGGGGCTGGGAGCCAGGGGAGCCTGTTGTTGACGTATCAGGTAGTCTAAGCAGTCAGCTTAGTGTGCGGCAGAGCCCCACACAGGCCAAGACCCACAGCTCGGGGCTGCAGACCACAGAAAAGGGGTGGAGGCACCTGGGTGGCGCAGCAGAGACCTGGGGGACCCCAAGTGAGATAGATGCTAAAAAGCTCTCGAGACAAAGTTCTGTGATGCACTGACCTCCACATAGCCACAGTCGGAGTGTATAACAGAACTTCACCTCAAACGCTGCGGGCTCTGCGTGCGGCACCCCCACCCCATCCCGGGCCCCCCGTTACTGCCTGGGGCCCGGCAGCAGAGCAGAAGTGCAGAAATCCACCCACCTGCGGATCTGAGGAGCGCAGGGCGGTTCCCAGACGGGCATGGCGGCCTCTCCTCAAGCTGAGACTCTGCCAAGGAGAACCAGCCCCTGGGGGGAGGCTCCCAGAACCAACCCTGCACTGGAGCCCACGTGGTGCCAATCGCCCATGACGCCCTCTGCTCCCCACGGAGGCTGCTGGTGCCCAGCACATCCAGGATTGGGCCCTTGCCTGTTGTGACGCATGGACTGGCTTCCACTGGGCACAGCATGGGACTGCCCCACTTCTGAGAAGCCAGGACCCCGCGGGCTGCCTGGCACCAGCCCAAGGGACCCCTCCCCATAGCTGCTCATCCTTGTGTCTCCCAGGGGATGGGGGAGAGGACAGGAACTGCCAGGTGGCCAAGTTCCCCAGCTGACCCCACAGCCCTAGGGAGCCTAGCTTCATGGGACTGGCCTTCCCCCAGAAGCCAAGCATGGCTTAGCCTGCAGGGAATTGGGCTCAAGTCTGCAGCCCTTTGTCTCCAGAAGGGCCCTGTCAGAAAGCTGGGCTGATCCCCACCCCCAGCCCAGGAGACTGAGACAGTGTGGCTGAACCTGCCAGGAGCAACCAGGCTATTCGGGGGGTCTCCATTTGTGGGACACCCTAAGGGGCCTGATTGGTGGGTGCGCAATCTAAGGGCCTGACTGTCAGAGGTGCCAAGCACCTGCTGCCCCTATGGGCGTCACTGCAAGTGGGTCTGAGAATCAGGCCAAAAACTCTTTAGGGCTTGTCAACATGGGGAGTTAATTTAGATTAATTCCATGTGTGGACACTCTTACTCCAGTATAAGAGTGCCTTACTCTGAATTAGCTTAATCCACTTTCAAAGTGGATTAAGGGTTAAACTAATATTAACCTACTAACTGACACATGGAGTTAAACTGGAATAGATAATCACCTTTACATTAACACCCTGCTTTATTCTGGATTGACTCTCAAACGTACCCCAGCCGTTAACTGCATCCCGCATTGGTGTGACTGTCCCGAGATTCCCCTCCAACGTGGGGGCTCAGCCGTGTTCTTCTGGGTGCAGCTGGGTGGACAACCCTGGAGAGCCGCATTCCCTTCAATGCGCTACCCCCACATATACCTCACCCTGACCAGGGCCAGACCCTCTCTGGAGATGACAAAGGAGACCAGTCTCCATTCGCTCCTTGACCGACGAGAGGGCAGCTGTACATGAGCCAAAGGAACCACCTTGAAAAACCACAAGCCTCTTTTGCATCCAGCTAGTAATTTACAATAGCTGCTGCCCTGCGCTGGATTAGAACCGGCAGCCTAGAGCTGAAACGGCTGAGTCTTCCCAGCCCAGCCCCTGCTCCATCCATCTCCCCTCAGAAGGGAAATGAGAAGCAAGCCTGGCAAAGAACTCAAGAGGAGCCCTGGAGGATTTACACTTCTCTAGAGCCATGCTGTACTGCAGAGCAAAGCAAATAAATACACATTTTAAATCTATAACGAGCGCTTCCGGAGGGCAGAGGGCCTGGAGATCGAGAA